AAAATGAAATCCAAAAAATCATTTCACAATAACCTGCTTGCAGCATATGTATGTAAAGATCATATGTAAGAATAGAACACTGAGAGAAGCTGCTGGCAGTGGTTAAATAGCTTGGTATGGCATGGTTATAATTACCAAGTTTGAATTAACACAACAAGTATTGGTGAGATTTTAAAATGAAATTTAAAACTTGAAGAAAATATTTCAAAAGGACATCATAGCACGGAAGACAGGAGAATAGCCATATATTCCCAGTTTGCTTTTTATATGACTTGCTCTAGTCAAGTAATATATTGAACCTTTCTGAGACTCACTCACTTTCTCTGAAAAATGTCTGTTGTAATATCATGGTTTTAGAATTTTAATAACAATTAATAATATCATAGTGCCTTGCAGATAGGCACTCAATACATTGATAAATAGGAGTTTTTTTATGATTACCAACATAAAAGGTGAATTCCACAAATAATGTGTTTCTGCTTCATAGACTCCACCTGGGTTGGGTCCTCAGTAAATAATATAAAGTAATATAAAACCTCTACTCTGTGATTAAAATCATGTTTTGACATGCTTTATGAGCTCTTTTCATATGGATTTTTGATAATATGCTTTCAAAATTATTGGCAGATCTACTCTTTGTCTGTACTTCAAGCTGGATAATGGAAAATGATTTATACAGTTTTATTGAATTTACAAGGGTTAGAGTAGCCATGTTAATTATTGCTATGTCATTCTCCAAGGCTAGCAGGAACTGAAACAAAACATAAGCCAAACTAAATGTAATTAGCATTAAAATGACTCAAGCATGAAAAATAATCGAATGGGTCCTGGAGTGTTATTCTCGACAACAAAAAAGATCCTACTTGTTTGCAAACATTCATTTTAATTCCCTTTACCTCATCATTTGAAATTAGAGAGGTATTTTAGGTCCCTCTCATATTTCTCAATAACATTTTCTTAACATTGTGATGTATGGTGTCATATATAATTAATCTAACTTTTAAAACTAGATGATAGCAGCTGAAAATTCTCACAGGATGAGTACAAGGAATACACCTCACTAAAGCATAATCATTTGTTCTTTCTAACTGTATGTTATTCAGTGTTACTGTTTTCTGATTAGAACATTCTCTTTTTAGAGTACAAATTCTATCTTCCAAATTCAGTGAATTCTATGTTGAATTTAAAATACAATGCTACCCGAGAAAAATACTTTTACATAGAATTTCTACCCAAATCCTTCTTCCTAGACCTTGGGTTAGCAGCAGTAAATATAGTCAGCCTTCTGAATGTTGCACATCCACAGATTCAACCAATTACAGATAAAATATATTGAAGAAAGAAACCATTTCTGCAGTGAACATGTACAGACTTTTCTTTCTTACCTTTATTCCCTAAACAATACAATAATGGTTTACTTATTATTTGCATTGCATTAGGTACTATAAGTAATCCAGAGAAGATTTAAAGCATAAAGGGGATGTTCATAGACTATATGTAAATACTATGTAATTTTATATAAGGAGTATTTGCAGATTTGGGGATCCATGGGAGTCCTGAGGGATAGTTTTCTTACTATGGACCCATAACAGTCAGAAGATAGCCTAAATATGAGAAGATAGAAAGAAAGAAGAAATTCTAAGAGAGATAAAAGAAAGTATTGTAAGGAGATATATAGGGAAAGCAAGGCATGGGGTAAAGCAGATAACAATAGACACAGATTAGTGTTTTGACTTTATAGTCAAGAAAGTTGCTAGGAGGTGACAAGGAGGGAAAGCTAGGACTGTATTCTCAGGAAACAAGGGTCTCCTCAATGGATTTCTGTAATGAGGAGAGAGATCTAGCAGTTTGAGAGTGAAGGAGCCATGCAGGGCTTCTTGGAAACACAAGCTGATTCCACAAAATGTATGCCTCCTTCTAGTTAGATCAGAGCTGATGTGTAGCAGAACCACACTTTTTTTAGCTGTGTTAGCTCTGAATTTTTTTGGAATATTTCCACACTGTTGGTAAGAAGCTCTTGTCAGAGGCAGTATGTGTTCCTTTTCTGTGAATACTCAGATACATTGTGGGTATATCTGAATTTCTGAATTAAAGAAGGACTCTCAGGAATAGCAATAGCAGGGTGTTCCAGGACACTCCAGCTTATATGGCTGGTGTAAATTTTGATAGGCACCTGTGTCAAAACTGTGTGTCTATTACCTTTAAGAGGAGCATATTAACTGGAGACACTTAAAAAGGCTTGAGGTTAAGTCTCAAATGGGCTCTGAGATACAATGATAGGACCAAAAGGACCCAAGGTATAATTTTGACTTTATTAGATATGCCTGAGATGCTATTAAATGAGTGTAGCAATATCATTAAAAACAAACATTAATGGGAAACATTTTTCTCTTCATGATAATAGATTAGAATTATACAATTATAATTATATTTGTCATCCGAGTGATTTGCAAATACAGTATAAATCATTCATTTCTTTTTTTTTCCTACTGTAGTATTGCATTTCAATCTAGTTTTAAAATCAATATACTTTACCTTCTTTCCTGTCACTTCCTGCCTTAAGAAAAGAAAAAGCCCAGGGCTCTGACCATGTTTGAACTTGATGAGCTCTCTTATAATGAGATGCCTGGGCACATGATGCCTCTATAACTGGATTTCAACAGTTATTAATAGCTGCCTTCTTCCCTCTTCAGGGTCAGATCCAGTGGCAGATCCCATGAACATACGCAATGTGCTACCTAACATAGGCATCTACAGACTTGTCCAATGGACTATTTTAGACAAAACTTTTATATAAGTTTTATAAACTTTAAAGGGTATGAAGGAAATAAGTCTACCTTTGAAATAAACTGTAAAAATCCATTAAAAGAACATTGCCTTTAAAGTATTTGAAAAGCAGATAATTATCTAAGTGAGAAATTAGAGTGTCCTATCTTATTATTCTAAACCATGGGTTTTAAGTGATCTTGAAATGAAAAAAAAATTCTTTCTAGATATTGCTTTTTCATATGTAATTCTCAAACTTTTTATATCTTTATTTGCATTTTTAATAACTTCAGTATGTATAAATATGCAAGCTCTAATTCTATATCTTGAATAGTCAGTTTTCAAGTAAAATACAGATACCTATCTGGAGATTATCATTAAGTTAATTATAATGCATTTCATAATTGTATAGAATGTGTTTCCTTTCATAATATAAAAAGGAAAATCATGACCTTCCAAATTAGTAATTTTGTTGTCAAGTAATTTCTTTTCCTTAACTCTGAATTGTTTAAGTTAATGCTTAAATTTTATGTAGTGTGTTTTTATTATAGAACAAAGGGGTCTATATTAAAATATACTGAGATTAATGTGAAATGTTAAAACTTACAACCTTTTTAAAGATATTACCTCATATAATAAGTATTTTTTGTTTTGTATTTTTCATCTTGTATTTCAGACATATTATGCACAAAGTGTCACAATTTTATAGAGGATAAAATATGATTTCTTCTCCCTTTTTTATATCTAACAAGGACATTAACTCACAGATATGAAGTTGATAAAATTTATAACATGACAATATTACCACTTATCTAGCAAATTTTTAGAGATAGGAACTATTCTAATGTCCTAGATAACCATAAGACTCAGTAAATACTTACTACAACCCTTTGAGGTAGATGCCATTTTGTTCTCATTTTGTAGATGAGAAAACTGAAGCATGAAGATAATTGGTTTTCCCAATATCACACGATAATGAGTGTATTAGTTAGATTTGTTCAGAGAGAAAAGAATCAATAGCATATGTGTATAGTTATATGAGGGGGGATCTATGAGCAAAATTGGTTCTTGCAATTCCAGTTACTGAGGAGGCTCATGACAGGGTGTCTACAAGGTAAGACCCTAAGAAACTGGTAGCTTGACTCAGTTTAAGTCAGAAGGCCTTAGAACCAGGAAAGCAGGTGACATACCTCCCACTCTGATGCTGAATGCCTGAGAAACCCAAGGGAAGGAGGAGCTGTTAGCAATAAGTCCTGGAGTCCAGTGGCTGTTGAGCCTCAAGTTCTGATTTCCAAGGCAGAAGAAAAAAGGTCCAGCCCCATTATTTGAGAAAAGACCAATTTACCTTTTGCATGTGTTCTCTTTGGGATTGTTGACCAATGGATATACCACACAGAGGACAGATCCTTTTCACAGATTAGATTCATGCACTAATTTTCTCTGGGAACCCCCTAATAGACACTCCAAAAATAATGTTTTATCTAGGTTGCTAGGTATTCCTTAATTGAGTCAAGTTGAGACCTAAAATCAACCATCGTTGTGAGTGATTGTTCTTAAAGGAAAAACCAAGTAGTATGGCTCTGGAGTGTATAGCTAACCTCTAGGCTACTTTTCTATATCAGACTCCAAAGAAGGAAAACCAGTTCCATCAGAAATTATGATTTCTAAGGAAATTTTCACTTAGCAAGACTAGCACTGTGAAGAATGAAAACACTGGGGTTGATAGAAATAGTAAGTGTGGTGGAGAGGGGAAAGGGAAGTAGCTATAAAAAAGGAGTTGCAAGAACATAGAATTCGGAAAAGTACAACATATATTCAAGGCATCATAAAGAGGGCAGTTTGACAAGATAAGAGGGTTCTTTTTTTGATAATTCTTAGAAAGATGAATATGTTCAAGGTGCTTGCTGGATATTATTTGATACATCATTACCAACATTAAAATAAACTCATTTTCTACACAAATAGGTTTGATATTCGCAATTGTGTGTTTATCTTAAATGTCAATCTGTTACTAACATTATGACCCTTTATTTCATTCACCCAACTGACTGAGTAAGCTATTATCCTGTCAAGCATTCACTTGTGACTCAAAGTGGAACATTTTAAAAATGAATGTGTGTTTATATATATAAAATTTGGACACTAAGGAAAACTTCAGATAGACTTTCCTACTTAAGAATGTAAAATCAAAGTGAAGTATTCCTGATCACAGTACATATCACTGTCTTTTTCAGGTAAACCAGTGATGATAGTGACAGAGTATATGGAGAATGGTTCTTTAGATACATTTTTAAAGGTAAGATTTGGAACTAAGTTAGTTAGTTATTCACAGTGTTATTTATATATCAATCATGTCATTGAAGTTGAAACTGAAAAAACTTAAAGTTAAAAGGTTTTAAATGGATAGAAATATGTGGAGCCAGAATAACTATACTCCAGAATTAACTGTGGTTTGAAAAATGTGCTTTTGAGAAAATAAATCCAAATTACATCTTTGTAGTTTTCTTTAGGCATATGTTGATTTGAACAAAAAAAATAAGGAAACTGGGATTGAAAAAAAAAAAAAAAAGAAAAGAAGGGATATAGGAAATGAAGGGAAGGGAAGAAAAGAAACAAAGGAAAAAATAAACTTTACAAATACTCAACTTTTGAAAGTGCATAATGTCAAGGCGAGCAAGGAGAAATATCTGAAGTGTCCCTTCAGTCCTTAAGGAAGGCATCTGTGGGAATCTATAAGTGTTCATAACCCACATGAGGACCAGTCACTGAGTCATTGTTTACACTAGCAGAAAAGTCATGTGGTAGGAAAGAATAGTCGATATTGTCAGATCTTCAGATCCGGTTTCAGGAAAAATATTTTTATGTGTACTTCCCCAAATTTTAAATATTGACAATTCATTTTTATCAGTAAATAAAATATGCTTGTGTCTGACAATGAAACACACTTAGGTCTGATTAAACCTATAGTCTAGCAGTAAGTCACACTATTTCTTATTTCAAAATCACCATCAGTTAGGCCTTATGAATCTGTGCAACTTCATTAAATTCAGTGCCTTTAACAAAAACAACAAATTTCCAAAATTGTTAACATTTTCTGTTAGCAGTCATCCTTCTCCCTATCTGCTAAGATACTCCCTTATCTACTCTGACCACTTTATCTTTACCTCAGTATCTCTATACAGTTAGTTACTTTTAAATTGCCTAAAATATATTCGTTGTTACCTCAGGCAAGTACTAGAATGGAGTAATGAACAAACTCCTTGAATAACTGCTAATAAAGGAATTACAATTAAGTAAAGGTCAACAAAATTAGATTTTGACAAGTGCTTTCAAAGCCTTTATCTTTTTTGACCAGATCAACATTAAAAGTTAACCAAATATTTTCTAGTATTTTCTATTCTCCTTCAGATAGATATTGCATATACATTTTGATGGATGGTAATATTAATTGGAAGATTGAAGGAAGATCCTTTCATTTTTCCTCCTTTGAAGGGTATTGCTTCACTAATATTTCTACACTGTCTTTATAGAAAAACGACGGGCAGTTCACTGTGATTCAGCTTGTTGGCATGCTGAGAGGCATCGCTGCAGGAATGAAGTACCTTTCTGACATGGGCTACGTGCACAGAGACCTTGCTGCTAGAAACATCTTAATCAACAGTAACCTTGTGTGCAAAGTGTCTGACTTTGGACTTTCCAGGGTACTGGAAGATGATCCTGAGGCGGCCTATACCACAAGGGTAAGATCTAACAGAATGCATTTCTGACACACTAGATTAGAGATATTTAATTTTTAAAGATTTTAAAGGAAATAGCAAAAAGGGCATTCCTCTAACAAAGTCAGAGATATCATGAGAGAAAGAGAAAAAGAGAGAGAGGGCGAGAGAGAATCGAAAGCTCATTTCTCTTTTTATATATCACCAAATTCAAATATTAAATACTGGTAAGGAAAACATTCACCTTCTGAATCTTAATTATTTACTTTTTTCTGACTATACTAAAATAGAACATCTGAATTAAGAATGGGTGTAACAACATAAAATCATATAAATGTTTAAATCCAAGGCAGTTAAAGGTAGAATCTCCTATATTAAAAGAAACGGTAAAAGAAAGTATATATGTATACACACATAATGATGATATAAACATGTATAGCACCACAGAGTGTCCTCATTTGCAAAATAAATACAGAAATATCTGGACCTTACCTTTTCAGAATTTATGTCATTGGGGAAAAAAGTTATTCTTCCGAGAAGTTTTGAGTTACTGGAGTTATTGCAGTGCCTCACTACTTTTCTTACATACTCATGGCAAGCTTTCATCTATAGGAAATTGGGCACCAACACATATTTTCATACTTAGCAAAATTCACCACTCTTTTCAGGAGCAAAAGTAGTTGCTTTGTGAACTGATAGAGCATATGGTTGACAATTTTTCCTATGTAAAACTGTTGACATTGCTGCAAAGAAATTTTTTGGGTCATCTATGATATTGGATTTATTAAGTCTGAAACACAATAAATAATTTTTGTGTAATTTGAAATCTTTTCAGTGTTATTGAGTTAGATATTCTAGATGTCTAAACTCCTTATGAAGACAGGGATTTATTGTACATCTTTTCACCGTCCAATTTGGTTAGCTTTTGTTTGAATGTAGAGTAACAATTTTGCCATCTCTCATTCTAAAATCCATTTAAAGGTGCTACATATGTTCTTAAACATCATAAATTTATAACTAGAGTCTAAATATAAGTTCTTTAATACATTATAGGGTTGTTTTGTTTTGTTTTTATATTGTTGTATTGTGACTTATGGTTATTTGGGGGTTTGTACTGTGCTGAAGAGCAAGAGTAATTTATCTAAGCAAATGAAGGTTTCCAAAGTTCAGCTTAATAAATCAATAAATTAATTGATGAGTTATCCCTGCTCTTCTAGACCTAAGTAGCATTGTCACTATTTGCATTAAATGAAGCTTCAATTAAGAATCCTCCTGGGATTATAGTTACACTTAATAAACTTGACCTGAGCAAGATTGAGGTTATAGAAAAGTCTACTGCCAGTGTGATTGTTGTGTTAGTTAAGTGCAAAAAGTAGATTTTTCAAGGTCTGTGTCAGTATGTTATGCTGCAGAGTTGGGAGTGAGAGACAGAAATCGTGAAATTCTTAAGACTTACTCTTCTGAAATGGAGTGTGGCAGCATTTTATGGAAAATCTATATACTGCGAGATGAGTAGATAAGGAACTGTTGGAAAATATGCTGACTTCTATCATGGTAAGAGGATCAGAAGAAAAATTATGGGCTGAAATACAACATAATTAACATATTTCAATTCTAAGAGTCACTTTAATCACATAGTGTAGAATATCACATCCCTATGAGTATAGACAGGTTTCATGATATGAGCTTGCCTTTATTCTTAATTAACAAGAAGTTTAAAGTAAGTTTTTTTAAAATGGATAGGTAAAGAAAGAGCAAGATTATTACATATTATATAGAGTTTGCATATAAATATCTAGAGTTTATATATAATGGTTAGATAAATTATATGTATGTGTATATATATATATATATATATATATATATATATATACTCTATAAATATATACACATTTAATAATATATTAACTATATAATCTATGGTTATATAGGTTTGCCTGCCTTTGAGGAGAAAAATAATTCACGATGAAGGAGGCAGGATATAAAATTATTTTTTTCCACTATCTAAAAACCCAAATTCTTATTGTGGTGAGATTTTCCCCAATATTCTAAGTTTAACATTTTTTTTAATTTGGTAATTAAACAAGATACCCATTTCTGTGGTTAGATAGTTAACCAATAAAATATACAAATGTGTCATCAAAAAAGAAGGGAAATATATCAAGTCTAAAAAACATAAAATGATGTTGAAGTAAAGTATAACCTAAGTTTTTAACACATGGAATTTTCCACCTTCTCTTATTAAACTTCTCAGGGTTGCATCTGGCAGCCTAGACATTATACTCTAAATTTGTGTATTTAAAAAAAAAAAAAAAAGCATGCAGAGAATTTTAGTCCACTGCTCTACGTTAGAAGTCCTGAGAGTGTACCTTATTGATTTGCTTGACTGCCTGCTTTTCCCTACTTAGAGCTGCCATCCTGAGGACTGTAATTGAGATGTGGGTCCTGTGTGTGTTCCAGGAGTCAAACAGAATTTAAACTAGAAACCTTCCGGACAGCCAATTAGTAGTTAGTCTACAAATGCTTATGGACTGGGAGATGGAAAAAGAGACTGCATGCTGTCAAACAGATTCACTTAAAAATGCTACATCTCTTTCTAGATCTTTTCAGTGAGGCAGCAATATCCCTAGACACATTTGAGGTATGTGAGGATTTTAAAAATTCTTTTTTTAAACTTAGGGAGGCAAAATTCCAATCAGATGGACTGCCCCAGAAGCAATAGCTTTCCGAAAGTTCACCTCCGCCAGTGATGTCTGGAGTTATGGAATCGTAATGTGGGAAGTTGTCTCTTATGGAGAGAGACCCTACTGGGAGATGACCAATCAGGATGTGAGTATGGAACTAGTCTTTCTCACTCAAGTTGAGAATGAAATGCTTTGTTCTCTGAGTCCGGACACTTACATTGTTTTTCATTTCTGGATATGACAGTTGCTTGAAATATATGAAATTTTTTGCTTACCCTGTGATCTATTTTGTTGTTGCTGAAATAGTCTTTTTATGCAGAAGCTGAAAATATGTTATTACAAAGGAACATAAGTTACAGTTATATAAAACTCAGTGTGTTGCCAGATTGTCTTAGCTGTGTTATAGTGATGTGTCTTTCAGATTATGTCAAAATCATTCTCAAAGATGAAGAAAGAGCCATCAACAAATGAATACTGACAAGCAAATTTTTATGATTTGCATTTGATAAAGGAGGCTAATAATCTAAATCGAAAGTATGAATGATATAGATTTAATAGTGAATGTTCTTAGAGGATAAAAAGAAATGGTATACATTTCTTTACATTACAAAATGTAAAAAGACTTGTATTATGTATTTAATTTGATGAAAAAAAAACAGATTCTTTCCCTACAATGGAATAACTATCCATGCATATAATAACAGAATCCTAATAGTAAAGAAACCATGAAAGAATCTTCTATTCATTTCAGAATGTTTATGATATGATGCCAGGAACATAACTCCTTGCTCTTTGCTTTTAAATTTTTCTATTGTTACTGTTCAAAATATTCATTTTCATTTTGGATCATATTGAAAATTGATATTTTTCCCTGAAAATTGACATGTTTCTCTATAACAATAGTTTTACAGGCAGTTAGCTAGAATAGATCAAGCCCTTACTATGTGTCATACATTGTCTTATGTGCTTTATCAACAAATCATTGATTGTGTCTTTCTAAAACCTGGATATTGAACTATCTCAACCCAATATTTGAAACATTCATATTTTTCTTCCAAATATTTCTTTCATTCATACTCTGTAACATCTCCCTTTCCCATGTATGCCCTCAGGAACCGAGAGAAGATAATGTAGCTCTCCTACTGAATTTTATTGAAATAAAAGTGTCTTGCTAGTAATTATCTTTCACTTTTCAAAATAAAAATTCAACTACTGTCTAAATTAAAGTCAATCTCATATTCATTTCAAAGTGTTTCCCACAGTTCCAGGGCCAGCCTGACCAAGTTATGTAAAGTGGGGATGAATGATCAAATCTTTGTTCCTTTGTTTCTTTGTTTCCAAAGACTATAGCTGGATTCTTCAGGATTGGTCTGAGTGGAGAGGTAGGAAAGAATGGACAAAATTATATCATACGTTGGGGCTGTTGAGGCTTCTTGTGGAGAAAACATTAAGTCATGAGATCTCAAGTGAGCTACTTGTCTGAGCTTTTCCAGGACTCTTGATTGGAGGCCCCTGCTAGCCCCTAGAAGAGGAGCGTGTGCTCCAACCCACTTCCTAGATCTCTTTGTGCTTGCTCCCAGTTCCACACCTCATGTTGTCTTATTGCACCAATCACATATTAGCTACTAGCAAGGGACATACTTTCACATATATACATATTCATTTGGATGCTCTCCTTATGGTCCTTCTTTGGGTATTGGTATCACAGACTATTCCAACCATTTTGCCTTCTCCAAAATTCCCCAGGTGAGATGTCTAGGTCATACACCCATTTTCCCAAAAATTATTTCATATCATTCTTCTATGGTAGCAGCAATAAATCAGGTTGATATATTTCTGACTTTCAGCAAACATATAACAAGAGAGCTAATCTCCACTTCAACTAGGATGGTATAGCTATTTTCCTTTGTGACCCATTCACTTGGCTTGGGAAGGGCAGTGCTTAGTTGTGTTTCTCTACATCTGAGAGGACATATCAGTGTTATGATTTAAGGGACAGGACTATGGTCAAAATTATTATTTTGTTATCATTATATTTATTTATATTTATACTTATAATGCCCCTTAAAGTTTAGAGAAGTTAAACGACTTTCGGAAGGTCACAAAAAATAATAAAAGTTATACTAGAAATTTCAACCTAGTACTGTATTAAAAACAAAAATCTAACCACCAAGTCTCATTTCAATACTATTATTGCCTTTAATTTTTATGGAAGTTTTTCATTTTTGTTCAGCCAGCAAGCCTTCATATGGTGGTCCCACCCATGTGTCTATTTCACTCAAAGGAAACATTTATCCCTTATTTCCCTAGTTAATTCCTACTCACACTTGAAATGCTTTGAGTTCTGATTCTGCCACTCAGAATCAACCATGCAGTAGATCATCCCCATTTTTGGCAATTATGTCTAATATAGTTATGTCAGTCACAGATAAAATTATAGATAAAAGTAGATTATGTTGTTTGGTGAATATTCTTTCATGCTTTTGCTGGTATTGTCCAAGTGTCCTTATGCTTTTTTACTGCTAGTTGATAGGTAGTCATATACTTTCACTATCCTCCAGCTCTCTCATCTTCCTTGTGAGACCAGCACAAAGACCCTCATTTGCCAAATGGCCAAAGTACAAGAAGGAGTTCAATTGCACTTCAGCTAGTAATGTGTCTTTTAAAATCCCCTTGGCCATTCCCATGAACAGAGTGCTGGGTCAATGACACTGCTCATTGTGGAGCATTATAGCTGCATGGAGAAGGACATAGGAACAGGGAGATTGTGTAGGGTGATGAGAAATTTGTCTTAAATCCTTCACACCTCCCTTCATTTCATAGGTTACCTGTTGGAATCTATATCTTGTGTAATAATTCTCAGTTTTTCTATCCTATGTCCATTTTTCAAAGTTCATTTATTTAATGCTCAATAGCATTGTTGACATGTAGTTATCATCGAATCCACTCTCTTAAATACTTTTCTTTGGCTTTTATTGTTCCTTTTTAATTTTTCCCCTGATTCAACCATTTGAGTGCCTTGATACTTTTTAACATAACATAATTTCAACGTATTCAGAAAAATGAGAGGGAATGGTGTTGTAAGATTTTTAGGAAATTATAAGAATAAAAACTAATATTTTAGTTTTGACCAAGTTTTCCAAGAATTAGATGAAATTTTCAAAAGATGATCCTATAAATATAGGTCATTCTAAAATAGTTTTGTTTAATATAAAATGTAGTAAATGGATGGCTATTTTCTCAGCAAACTCATAGTCATCTGTAGCACTTGATTTCTAGATACAATACTAAGTGTGACATGCCCCAAGTTCTATCCAAATTTATATCCAAGAAACATGAGGGATCAACTGTATTTGAAAATCATGATTACTGACTATTTTTCTTGGGAAAAATTCTCAAAGAGCAAAGTTGAAGTACTGATCTAACAGTTTCAAATGATATATCCCATGATGTATACATTGTAAATACTATCTGATCTAAAAAGTGCTTTGCCACCATGAAAATTTACATTACCAAGTCATACGGTATAATCTAAATCTCACAGGGGAGACCTTCCTCTGTGCCAGGGGAACAAAACACAGCAGTAGGTTGCTTTTGATTTAGGATTGCTGCTACCATTGCAGAGAAAAACTGTAACCCCCCCCTCCAAAAAAAAAACTTTAATGACTAGGATGATTTTAGGTAAATACTAGACCATGAACTCTGATTCAATCTCAGGAAGCTAAGTTAACTTCCCATAGGCAGTATAAGCCTATTTATTAATATCAAACAACCTAAAGGTCAGTTTTTTTTTCAGATTCAGAAATAAAAACCAAGTTAAATATTTTATTGCATTGCATTTTTGCATTTAGAGACAGTGTCTTTCATTTGTATTTATTGAGGAATGTATCAATCCATAAATTCAACTAAAAATAAATTCCAAATATTCTCTAAATTATTTAAGTAATCATTTTTCAGTCTTCCTGTTTAAATTATTTTTTTCATTTTTAAAGGAAATTAGTTTTCTGTACTTTCATTTTCCTACAAATTTTAATCCAGCATTTTTCTTACAACTTTGGTTGGTATAGATTTTACTTATAAGGTATTGAGAATATTTGACTCCAAAAGTTATAAATCGACTTAAATACTTTGCATGATGTATGATTTTCTATGTGTGTATATATATATGTCAAATCAGAAAACATACATGTATACATATGAAAGATCTAAATATGTTCCTACAGTGCCATATATGTGTGTATACATATACATATGGTATAGAAATTTAAGAAATATATTGTTTATTACAGATATATCACATATACTTATTAAATTACTGGAATTGTTTGTGGTAAAATAGACAGCATATTATAATTAAATTAGAAATATGTGAATTTATTTTCTATCCACATTATGTAATTTACTAAAGATTTGACAGCAAGCAAATTTTTCTACTTCTTAGCCTCAGTATCGTTTTTTTCTATGAGAATGATGGACCAAAGAATATTGATTTTCCTTGATAATATTGGTCTTCTAAGTATAGTACTGTCTTTAGCTGTAAATATTTTGGAAACTGGTATCCTCCTGATAGTTCTAACCCCTTTTCAAAAAATGATACATAAAAAATACCAATGCTTTATCTGAAAGATCTTGTCAAACAAACAAACAAAAATCTTCAATTTAACTCCTTTCATCTTGGATTCTACAACTATTGGTCAGTTTCATTGATTAAAAGGTGAAAGGACTTGAACAGAAGATGTTTAAGATCTCTTTAATTTCTGGAATTCTACTGATTTAAAATTGATATATTAAGAAAAAGTATATTTTTGTTAACTTTTGTTAAAAAGAGTCAAGATATCCTAAAACAAAACTGATATACTTGAAACTATTTCTGAATTATCAAAAGTTATTTCCAGAAATATACTCTAGTCATTTCTGAGGAGCTTTGTGTCTCAAATAACAGCTCTTTTATATGTAAGATTTTTAGCTAATACCCAGCAGTATTGATGCTGAAGCCCTAGATAGAACTTAGTTCTGAAATGCACATTTGACACTCAAATCTCCCTACAATCTTTCTGCCATTCAGGGATCAAACCTACATTTTCATGTCTCCTGTAATCTAGAATACATTTTCTCCCAAAATGACTCATTTTAATTGTGGATGGATGGATAGATAGATAGATAGATAGATAGATAGATAATATATGTATACACATACACACAAACATATATAATTTCTTTGTATTATATGTTATGAAAAAACAGATATGATTTTATGGTGTAATGTTTATACTGTTCTCAGATTACTTTCTTGGAAGTGGTTAACTATTTCTAATAACTACATGAACAATGGGAAATATTTAAATTAAACTTCTGGAACCTTTGATGTTTCATGTAATGTGTGTAAAACAATTCTTATCTTGAAGATCTATAGTTGAGATGAATATGGATAGTACATGTACAGTCTAAATCATTGTGCCTATGATATAATTTACAAGATATTTTTAATTCCTTTAAGCAGCCTATCCCATGAGGGAATTAGATGTACATGAGGATATTAAGAGGAAATCTTTGAAAGAAAACTCATGAAAGGATAAAGGGAAGGATGGAACACACAGTTCTTGCCCCATGTACATTACAGGTTGAAGGAAGGATGATTGGCTATAACCATCTGAGACAGAATTGTACTGAGAGGAGAGAAATTCCAGAGATCCTCAAGCCAACATTGTCTTTCATAGGAATTTCCATACTTCATAGGACTGAGCCTTTCTTACTATCTTTGCCATGCTCAATAATTGACTCTGGGTAACTTGTGGAAAGCATGGCTTTGTTGCCCCCATGATGAAAGGATTTGGCAACATAGCAGCTGCTGGTTTTGGTTAATTATCATCCCTGCAGGTGAAGATCTGCGAGACAGTTTTTATGGTTGCTATAATTCTTGACCTTTTTCAGTATAGACCTACTTCTGTGCACAGGAACAGATTCTATTATCATGTTGGCTTCTCTCCCTGAGAATTCAGCAGATGCAGGTTACTGGATGAAGAAAAGTAGCTTCTTTTGATCTCAACACCTCATGTGGTCCTTGTCCTCTCTTCTCCACTATCCATTCCAAATTTTTCTCACCCATAAAACTGGGAGATGATGGTTTTGTCCTGCTTGGTGATTTGAATAAATACCTTAATTCTTGGTGGTTTCACACATATCTACCTATCTCATTGCCTTCTGCTGCTCAGTAGCAATTACCCTTACCATCATGGTGACTCTTCCTCTCTAGTAATCCACAAAAGTAATCCATAACTATTAGCTCAGTGGAATTTTTCTTGAAAAGGGGAATAGAGTACAACATAGATTTAACACATTATTGCAAAGTAAAGAATGACTACACACATTTTAGAGCATTGCCTCCAACTTTAGCTGTGCCTTAAAAGATCATTCCAGCCCTCTGCAGTTCTCATTATTTCTGGATGATGACCTTTATGTAATGGTATACTGGAATCAACCTGTACAAGATAACAACATTTTAGAACATTTCTAACTGGATAAGATTGTATTGGTAGCTTTTGTTGGCATGGAAAAGATGTGTATACCACATAAATGTGTAAATATTACAAATGTATCTCCAATGAGAGTCAGTTGTTAAATATTTACCAGCACATCATGAAGTGTGTGATACTCTCACACATCCAAGACTGTGAACAGAATAGTCTGGTTGAGTGATAAGCTGTATTGGATATCATGTTTGTGGATCAAGACTTCCAGAGCTCCCAGTGATGGCTGAAGCTCTATTGGTGTAATAAGCAAGCAAACATCATATTCTGGGAAAAATATAACTGAGAAGATGAACCCATTAATGTTTACATGATTGAAGGAATCCAACATAGTCAACTTGCCACCAAAATAGTATTGCCATGTTGGTGGCTCAGTGTTAGGATTTGAGGTTTCAAAGAAGACACAGCCTTCTTTAAACTGTATTCAGACAATTTCTTTACATTTTAGTGTCAAGAAAATTTACAGTTGATATTAGTATTGCAGATATAGTACATCTGAACTTGATTAAAAATTATAGTTGCCTTTTTCTTTTTCCCTTCTTTTCTTTGTTGATCTCAACAACATATATTAGCAAAGATGATAGTAATCACTGAGGTTATGATTCATTTGGCTACATACTATAAATTGTATGTTAAAATAAATAGCCTAAAAATTATACATTAGTAGATTTTCAACATTTCACAAACTACCAGAATACTGATGTCTTTCATTTCTCTCCAAAACAATAAAACAAAAATAAAATGAAAAAAAAATTTAAAAAATTTTTAATATAAGATTTTAAGTTATAGTTCTAAATTTATTTTAAAAATCAGTTCTGAAGGTTAATTTAAATTTAAATTTATATTTATATATATACTGAGGTCAAGTTCTAAGTTAACTTGGAGACAGGATATTTATATTTCTAAACCTAAATTTACCTAAAATCAGAATTGATTAAGTAATAGATTTTGGAAATAACTTCACAAATCATATAATTTATGTCCATTTTATACCTAAAATGTCCAGAATACCTAAGTGGTTAGCATGTAAAGGAAAGATATTTATATAGCCCAAGATTCTAGAGGCTAAAATATCCAAACAATATGGTGCCAAGTCCTCTGGTGATGGGCCCCAGGTGCAACACAGTAGAGAAGAGGAAAGAGAAATGCTTACATGCAGAGGAAGCCAAGCACAAGGAATGGCTTTGCTTTTTAACAATCTTCTCTAGAGAAAACTAACCCAGTCGTGTTGGGACTGTGTTAATCACTTTTAAAGGTCAAGCCATCATGAAATAATCATCTTCCACTAGGTCCAACCTCTTAAGGATTCACCACCTTTTAATATTTTCTGTTCGGCAGATGATCTTTATTTAAACCATAGAACTTACTAAGTTATTTTAAAACTAATGAATTTAATTTGATTAATTCATTTTGTAGTCACATATAAAGACTAGTTGCTCCAGAGAGGAAAGACAATTTTCTTTTTTATTTTAATAGGGGAATTTGGTAATTTGCCAAGGCGTTCTTAAATTTGCAATCCTCCTGCATATAGTTTCCCAGTAGTTGGGATTATAGGTATGTGCTACTGTGCCCTAGTAGAGCTAAAGAAAAACATAGAAGTAATTAATAGTAGCTTTGGGAAAATACCATAATATGAAAAATTTATATTTTAAATAAATTTTCACTGAAGAAAAAATATTTTATAATCAAAACTGTAATAAGACTTATTATATTGGTACATATATGCTATTAAAGAGAATAACTATTCTATCTGCAATGGGGAGTCTTATAATAAGCAAACTAATGAATAAGTGAACTTCCATTAATATGTGAGGGCAAATGGCCATTTTATTCTTTTAATATTTATTTTATCACAATTGAGAATAAATGTTTTCTCAAAATTCATTTAGCATTTTGTATATATATATATATATATAAATGCTAATATATTTACAAATATATATATATATATATATATATATATATATAAAATATATATATATTGTAAGTGTTTAATCAGTATCTCACTTTTCTTTATTATTTGATCTCCCAATATGTATCAGCTTTAGTGTACTACATATATTATAGTAGTAGTTGAAATAATTTTTTCTGTGGTTTGCTTTTTAATTGATTATATTGTTTTTGAATTAAGTAAGTTAACTAAGGTGGTAAGTAGTTTCTTTTGGTCATTTGTCTGTATTTATCCATCTATTTCTGTGAATATTTATTTTCAAAGTACTTTTTATTTCTCAGTTTGCACTTAACTATTGGTACTTCTTAGGAAGCTTTTCCTAGGGAGATGTAAACTACACCAAATTCAAGCTGTGACCAAGTGCTGATGACCCTCACATTTATATTATCAGCCCAAATGTCTTCTGTGCTCTAGCCAGATTCCTGTAAATTGCCATCTGGGTGTTCCCCATTCACTTCCGATCAAAGAAATCTCAAATTATACTTGACAACATTTTCTCTCTCCATAAATTTGCTCACCTCAAGTTAACAGAAATAACGGTTCCATGTGATGGGCTTGAACTTGTGTGATCTCTGCTATCCTCTCCCCTCTACTCTTGGGTCATTAGTGTCTCTTAAATCTACCATTTCATCTTCTTTCCATCTGCCACTGTCTTTGTTCAAATGTCAATTTCTCTCATAGAGAAACTTATTTCTTTCCAATCCTTGAAAATGATCTTTCTAAAGTTCCTGTGCTAATTTTAACTTCTATTTTCATTTATCAAATCTAATCTAAATTTTTTTTGTGTGTGGAAAAATATAATTAAATTTGTTAATGATATATTCTTAATAGGATTTTGAGAATTATATTCATTAATATTGATTTTTGGTATCATTCAAATATTATCATTTTCATAATTGAATAAAAATTGTGTTGTTAATGTGCAGCAGCACGAACAAAACTCTTCTGGAGTTAAGATATGTTGATAGCAGCAGGAACATTACAAATGTTTTTGGTAAAAACAGTCTCACAATTAGACTGCTAATCATACCTCTGGTTGAATTGAAAACCAGTGATGTTTATAATGCCTGTGCTACTAGACAGCTTTCCAAACTCCTGACAGAAACAAGTAGATGAAAATAAACAGTCAGACCTTGACATTATTAAATGATACATGAGACAGTTATGCTAATTTAACCTTTGACTTATCCATCATTTACTACCCCAAATCTCTTTTGAAGTAAAATTTTCATTCCATTACTTGAAAAATGTGAGTCTGCACATATTTTTTCATCAAAAAGACATTAATTTTTCTGAGAAATCACTAGAAAATTGAATCTCTATTTGATTTCAGAAGGCAAGACTAAATAAAACTAAATAAAACATGCATATATTTTTATGTCAATTAATTTTACAAATCAACCTTCACCAAGATTTTAGGTTAAAATGATAACTGCTTGTTTTATTTATAGTAAGTGAAGAAAGACTATCTTTTTTAATACTATGATGTTGTTTTATTTTGCAGCAAATGAAAATAGTTGTGGATTTATAAAATAAAATAGTGATGGTTTGTTATTACTGAAGCTGAAAGAATGAATGAGAATGAAAGTAGGAATTTTCTCAATTTATTCTGTTATATTATGCTGTTGAGGACTGGTTCTGTTTTGCTTTATACAGGTGATTAAAGCAGTAGAGGAAGGCTACCGTCTGCCAAGCCCCATGGATTGTCCTGCTGCTCTCTATCAATTAATGCTGGATTGCTGGCAGAAAGACCGGAATAGCAGGCCCAAGTTTGATGAAATAGTCAACATGTTGGACAAGCTGATTCGCAACCCAAGTAGTCTGAAAACTCTGGTTAATGCTTCAAGCAGGTAAAAACCAGACCTGAGCAATTTCGCTGAATGTATCTCATTCAGAAAGATGCCACAAATATTTCATCAATTAAATCATACTTACAAACATGTTAATCTATGAATTTGTAAGACACTGATATATTTGAATATAGCTTTTTGTCTTATAATGAAGGAAATATGTGTTAATACTTAAAAGCGTTGTTACCCAATATAATAGTTAATGTTCCTGTTTCAGGAAAAAAAAAGCAAACTGCATAATATTATGAAGATAACTGAATTCAGGTAGCATTAAAAAGATAACACTCAAGTGGTGTGTTTTTATATGTTTTTGGAGGATAGGTGTAGATTGAGGAATGAAGAAAGGTCATTTAAACCCTTATATATTTTATATGTTAAACCATAAATGTCTAACCAAAATTACACTTTGATTTCTTTAGAATACATTTTAGCATCTGTCATTAAATATAAGTAGGTTTAGTGTTCTTATTTTATGAATACTGAAAACTTGGATGCCATTTTGCTCAGATTTAGTTATATAGGATTATTTGGTTAATCATTTAGTGGGCAGTTTGAGCAAGATTTAAAGCTGACAAATAAGTAATCTTGTGAAGAAAATTTGTGTGAGCAAATATTCATATTTCTACTTTTCTGAATGGCAGCATAAATGCATTTAATAGTCTTGCACACTTGTAAATTATGTTTTCTCTTTATCTAAAAAACTGTCATTTTATTCTAATATATATCAGTTTGATTCTAAACTGGAAAATTTTCCAGGTTGTTGTTTTCACTATGATTGAAGCAGTTGTCTATTTTGACAAGAAATAATATTATGCAAATAACTGAATTGTTTGCCTGTTAGTGTGAACTAAATGAGAAACAATTTGTGGATCAAGTTACATAAGTTCTATGATTCTAACATAGCATTTGCTTACTAGACTAAAGGTCATTTTAAATATAAATGAGGAAGAATTGTCAAAATCTGTTAAGGCATCATTGACTTCCTGAGGTAACAAATGCAGAATGAATCTTCATAGAAATTTTTTTTTCTGTATGTTGTTCTCTAATGTCTAATCTTAAATCTCCAATTGTCATGTAAAATATTAAGCCTTTTCCTATTCTGCTTATTTGAATTATGTTGTCACACATATGGACATAGGAGAGGAAATAATAAAATAAATTCTTAATGTTCTAAATTATATTAAATCACTTGGCCATCATCATTGAGCTTGAGAATAGTTTAAAATTTTTAAGAATTTACACATTTTCTTCTTAATACATGGAATTTGGCTTTCTAGGTTTTGTTTGAGCAGGTTTAGCTTTCACACTATACTGTCCTTTGTGCAGTCATCTGCAAATCCTAAGTCTTTTTTTTTTTTTTTGATATATTATTTTTTATTTTTTATTTTTTTTTATTGTTGGTTGTTCAAAACATTACATAGTTCTTGATATATCATCTTTCACACTTTGCTTCAAGTGGGTTATGAACTCCCATTTTTAGCCCATATACAGATTGCAGAATCACATCAATTACACATCCATTGATTTACATATTGCCATACTAGTGACTGTCGTGTTCTGCTACTTTTCCTATCCTCTACTATCCCCCCTCCCCTCCCCTCCCCTCCCCTCTTCTCTCTCTACCCCCTCTACTGACCTTGATTTCTCCCCCTTGAAATCCTAAGTCTTAAAGTCATTAGTTCCTGGTTCACTATGGCTTTTTCCTTCCCTACTCATGTCACAAGATTTGGTGGTTTCAATAAGATGATTTTCCAACATCTTTTAGTTTCTTGGAATTATTTATTTCAGTTATTTTGTGTTCTAACTTACGAAGACTCTCTTTTCTATTATCATATTGTAGGTCTTATTTTTACCAGAAATTGAAACTCTTGCATTTCATCTTCAAAGTCATACTTTCCAACTATTTTCTCCTAAATTTCTATCTCAGACAATATTTGGAACCATTGCATAATATTTAAGAATTACTGAAACTTATTCATTTAATCATTCAACAAATACACACCATTCTGTCCGTGTCATACTGTTGGCTAAGTGCTGATTATACAGCATTAGGTAAATAGACCTAGATATGTGCTTTTATGCTACCAACACACAGTTGGAGGAGAGAGATATTGAACAAAATAAAAGTTGCAAAAATAGTTGTGTTCAGTTTTGGAGTAGAAAGTGAGAGTAGAAGTCAAAAAGATAACTTGGAGGCATTAGTGATTGTGCAAGTGAGATATATGTGTTGTGTTTGTCAGTTTCTCATGATTGTGAAACAAATACATGACAAGAACAACTTATAGGAGAGATTTATTTTGGCTCATAGTTTCAGAAGTTTCAATCCAAAAGAAGAAACATCCTGGTGGAAGGGAACGGCAGAGGGAAATAGCTCAGCTCATTGTCACTAGGAAGAAAAGAAAAGGAAGAGGATAGGGGACAAGATGGTTCTCTTGGGCATGCTCCCCACCACAGTGATCTATTAGAAGCCACCTTTTCTACAGTTTCCACCTCCTACCAGTAGTCCACCAAATCATTAATCTATCAAATGCATTAATCCACTGAAGACATTAGAGCCCTCATCATTGAATCCCTTTCTGAAAGTCCCACCTCTGGACATTGCTGCATTGGAGACTAAGTCTTCAACACTTGGGGGACAAAACTATAATAGGTATCGTAAGGTAGTGAGGAAAGAGAAGTAGTCAGATATCAGTGTATTCAAGGTAGAATGGAGAGTATGTGCATATTCTGTGGATTTATTGCAAGGAGAGTGAAGACAAGGTACACTATTGTATGATTATATTGAGGATCGTGAGTGTAGGAGATGTGTGTGGAACGCGATGAGGACTGCAGTGTCAGACATGCTGGCATGATGTTCCTATGAGAAATGTGAAACCTAGTCTGGAGATAAAAACAAACAAACAAACAGAAAAACAGATGACATTTGAAGCCATGACAGTGAGTAAAATTGACTAGAGTACAGTGAAGTTATAACTCAATTAGTGAAGATATAGGGATAAGTTCTGACTCTCCAAATTTTAAAGTCAGCCAAAGAGAAAGTCAAAGTCAAAGGAGATTGAGAAGTAGGTAGGAACACAAAATCATCCCCCCCTCAAAAAAAGGAGAGAATATTAATTCAAAACAATGTTGAGATAGAGTGGATTTCAGGAGAATGATAGTAATGGTGATGGTTGTTTATTTCATACAGGTCAGTCATTTTATAGATTAAAAGTGTTCATTCATTTTGACAAAATAAAGATTATTGCTCACCTTAACCCAATCAAGAATTGGGTTTTGTAGAAACCACGCTCAAGTGGATTGAAATGTAAATTGAATGTGAGATAAGTGCAAATACTATAAGCACAAAGACAGATATTTGTGTTCTGTATCCTATGGTTGCAGTATAATTAGGTCATCTCTAATTTATGAGCATTTAAATTATTTTTTACTTTCAGGTACCTTTTGGATGCATTTCTAGAAATCATCATTGATATCTCATTTTTATTATTACCAAAGTTTGCAGATTTGTTTAGCTAAAAGCAAATAATGGTTGAGTTGGTTATTTTCAATTTTTATATGTTTTTGAATTAATTTATTTTCTAAGTTCTGATACTTACTCTAGGTGAAATAACAAGCACACTAATATAAGAACAGAAAATAAAAAATAAATGGCTTCAGAACTTCCTGAAATATTAACTTAAATAAGCATGGGTTTTTTAAAGTACTCAGTGGACTGAGTTTATATTGTCATGTACTTTGAACCATTTGCTTTCATGTTAGCATTTGTATATTTTCCCTGAAAATATATTTATAACCTCAGTAAATTTTGTTTAAAAAAGCATTAAAGTGTTCTTTTAATATTTATGTTTTATGTGTTTTAGAGTATCTAATTTGTTGGCAGAACATGGCCCTCTAGGATCTGGGGCCTATAGATCAGTAGGTGAATGGCTAGAAGCAATCAAGATGGGCCGGTATACAGAGATTTTCATGGAAAATGGATACAGTTCAATGGACGCTGTGGCTCAGGTGACCTTGGAGTGAGTAATTTTTTTTCTGATAATTTTTATGTAATTTCTGGGGCAAGAAAAATTGTTCAGAAACCAATCTGGATGAGAACAAGGGAAATCAGTTAACCCCTGTCCATGTGTGGCAGTTTTCAAAGAAGCCTCATCTTTTTTAGCCTGTATTGTTAACAACTGCATGGTTAATGCTTTTTGTGACCAGTATCTTTGTGTTTTTTTTTTTTTTTTGCTTCAAACAAATAGCATTTGAATATTTGAATAATTGGAATAAGAGCTCCATTGCAAAGTACTGGTATTTTGTGTTGTGGAAAAAGATGTTTTCTTGACAAGTTTTTATACTGGTACCTATGTTATATGAATGTAAATACAAAACAAAACAAACTGTAAGCACAATTGGTGTGGCTAATCCTACATAACAACAAAACATATTCCTAAATTTCAGTTCTCTACGATGAATATCCAGGTAACAACAGCTTAATCAAAGCCTCCTTGGCAGGAATCTCATTTAAAGTCTAAGTGGTGCATCTTATATTCTTACAATCCAAGAATATCCTAGATCCTGCCTTCAATTTGTTATTTGGTACAATCTCAGTGGAACCAATTGTGCCCTTTTCTGTTTGCACGTTTAAGATAAAGCTTATCAAATCTTATTAAATAAAAATCACTAGAGTTAAATATAAAGTTATTTAAGGTTGTAAGTTGTTTGTATTTTATTATATATTCTGTATGTGTAATTATTTTAGCCTACTTGTTATTTGTGAAAATTAACTGTTCTTATGGTGGTTCCATCTAGACTACATTACCATTAATGATAACTTACATCAAATTACCTGCAAACTCAAAAGTTAAAATATTGTTGTAAGGATTAGAAAATGTTAAAATACTCTAAACCACTAAATCACTGTCTTGATATCATTACTTCCCAAAATTGGACCATTGAAGATTTCTCTTCCCATCTCTGCTGTTCTGCCACTCTTTAATTCATTAAATTCACTGCTCATCCCCACAAAAGGTAACAGGGTACCATCATTTATCACTAATTAATGTCACATTCTCAGCATTCTCTAACTTCATACCGAGAATTAAACTGACCTAAACTGCAACCACTCAGCACTCAGCTTGCTTTCCTGACTCATTTAGTACCATCTTCACTGTCACCGCCAGACCATGCCTACTTGATGACATGTATGCTTTGCCCATTATTCCTTTGGACATGTGTGCTATATTTAAAATAGTATACAGAAAAAATTATTGATTATTTAAAACTATTTTTACATGATTGCTATTTAATTTTTCAGTAAAAATGGTCATTTTAATTTATTAAAGTCATTTGTCATTTTATATTAAAATGATACTGTAGGTATTTCTTCTACCCAATGTCGGATTACTTGTAAATATATAATAAAATTATTTGCATTAAACAATGTCTCTTTTTTATTGAGATAGCATATATTATATGTATACACACACATATATATATTTATGTATGTATAATCTACCTAGTTTTTATTTCTTTATTGACTGAACTGTTGTAATCAGAATGGTTTTGCACTAATTACTTGTGTTGTATTTCTTTGGGGCCTCCAAATACTATAAATATGCTGAGTATGTATGCATTATAGTTTCACTTTTCTTACTCTTTGCTATTTATTTTCCTGTGTGCTCTTCATATCACCAAAACTCTCTTCATTGTGTATGTCTTCTTTCTCAAGTCTTAACAACCTCTTCTATCTTCTTATAATGGTTCTTCTCTAGCTTGTAGTTTCTTGCTATACAGCCTCATTCAGATATTTTTGCCTTTTAATTTATTTTCTCTGACCAAAAGGGGAAGGTAAAACTAGGAGATTTAGTATATTTCCAGTCCAGCCAATGTTGGTCTTCTGATGTCCACTGCTTTAAATTCCCGGGGCCCATAATCATTAACATATTCCTTACTAGGAATTAGGCATACAAATCCTAATGCCAGTAAAACTGACTTCTTAGAGAATCCAGCAACAATAAATATATATTCTCTTCTTTACTGTGCTTTTGAATCCACAGTCTTCCAAATAAGTAAGAAGATATTTATCAAGACACTATGTTAAATAACATACAAAATGAGGAGTAATCAGTTATTTGTTCAGTTAAGAATTTATTAAAAAAAAAAAGATAATCTGTGTAATTTCTCTTGCTCAACAAAAAAATAAAAATAAAAATACCTAGTAAAAAAACTAATTATTAACAGCAGAGGAAAAAAGGATTATCAACAAAAATGCAGGACAACCTGATAATGATTTTTCATACCAAAATATGTAAATATTAATTTATGAAGTCCATATAATGCTATAATAAAATAATAAAATATTATATCTAGAGTTATTGTCATAGCCTGATAGATGAACGAATACATCCATAGCTCTTGTCAATGTTTAGAAAAATATTTAAATCAACTTTAAATAAAGCAAATGCTCAAACTGCCATGTATAACACATTTGTTGCAATTGTTGACAACAAATTTGTTTCCATAGTTGATTTAGAACAAGAAGAGTTAAAACACAGTTTTTCAGAACCACATGCTTTGGTAAAAGTGTACTTCATGAAGTTTTAGTTTTATTTCTTTATGGACTGTTTGCCAGTGCATGCATATATGTATGAATGAAGAAAAATGAAGAATTTGGGGATTTGGGAGTCATTGCATGTTCCATGAAATAATTTTCAACCTTAGACGTTTCTGTGTGTTAGTCTCTCTGCCTATACCATGTTAATCAGTGTACAGTTTTCATATTTGAATAACTGTTGTGCGGTAATGACAAAAGCTGTACTATCATATATAAGTGCACTGAGTTGTTGTTGACAGGGAATTGTAAGCCTGAGGCAAGTTTCAAATTGAATCCAAAGATCTGAATTAAAGACAAAGTCACAGCTGCTTTTTTGACTTCTTGTCAGGCCAGTACTGTCAACTTTTTGTTATTCAGAAAATGAGCAAAACCCAATGAATTCACATATTATACCAATTGTATACAAGCTAAAGGCATTCAATGTTAGTACCAGTTCATAAAATTGGGTTTTAAAATATTAAAATAGACATTTCCAAATTTAGAGCCAAAATGTGTACAGGTTAATTCAATTAGATTTATTAAATTATCAGTAAAGTCAAAATGCATAAGTTAGTATGTAAAATATATATGTATAGGAGAATTCCATATCTTTGGTGTGCTATGTAGTTAAGGCAAAAATCCAAGTCTAGCCCTTACCATGTATTACCTAATGAAAATGTTAATAGGCCATGATTAAATCTCCTTTTGCCAAATATAAATATACCAACCTTGTACAGTAGCTATACAAATGATTATAAGGATTATTTTTTTAAAATATACCAAAAAATGGAACTGTATGACAAAAACCACAAAAGAAGCTAAAAACATTGAATTTTAGTGAATGTTCATTAATCTCTCTTCTCCCTTCTCCTATCAAGCCAGTGTTGATGAGTTTAAATTCTAGTAATATAGCTACCAGGTATGTATGTATAGCAGAAAGGAGAAGAATGAGCAAAGAAAGGAAACATCCACAAATGGATTAATTTTACCCTGAATAATCAAGAGTTGGCTTAAATATTAGCTAGACACCTCTTATAATAATTTATTTTTTCTTCTACTAGTTTGTAATCATGATATGATAAAACAGTGTTTTTGCATTGTTTAAAGTCATGAAAAAAATGTTTAAAAAGATGATGAATTGTAATCCTAACAGTGTAATTTTATTTTACTTGCAGCTCTTCTAAAACGAATCATGTGTTGGCAATAAAATACAAACTATTTTATATAAAAAACACTATTCTTAACATATGTAAATAGGATTATCATCATTGGAATTGGCATTGGATATTACTTAAGATTATGTATGGTCATTATGAAATTAATAGAACATATTTATATCTTTATTAATTTTTATGTTGTGCTGAGGATCAATCCTGTTTAAAAGGGAGACACACTAAAAATTACCTAACTATAAAACTATCTTACATAGAAAAACAAAATGAGAAAAATGGTGTATCATGCACCATTTCCAAATATTTCTTTCAAAGACCATTGTATATATGGCAGGAACATAATCACTATATATAAATATTTTTTCTCAAATTTCTGTCATTATTACTGATAATCTGATCATTTAATACATGTATTAGATATAAAATGGAAATTGTTGGAAGTAATAAAGAGTGTGATACAAACCACTTATAATACTTCAATAATGCATTTATCAGTATTAGAATAAGGACATTTAACTTGTGCTGTAGACAGTTTCTAATGTCATTTCAATTCTCAAAGGAAGTATCATTAAAAACATGATTGAAGGGGTTTCTAAAGAAACTACTTAGAATAACTTATTGAGAATAAGTAAACTTGAATAAAAAAAAATCTTATATTTCCCTAACGTTTCACTGAAAATTATATTATATGGAGATATATATATATATATATGCACATTACCTCAAAATCATGCTATTTTTGTCCTTTAATTTGATATTTTCAATGACAAAGTCTACTGGGCAACGTGACACATGCCTGTAATCCTGGCAGCTAGAGCAACTGAGGCAGGAGGATCACCAGTTCAAAGCCAGCTCAGCAAAAGTGAGGTGGTAAGCAACTCAGTGAGACCCTGTCTCTAGATAAAATACAAAATACGGCTGGGGATGTGGCTTAGTGGTCAAATATCCCTGAGATCAATACCAGGTACCCCCTCCAAATGACAAACCTGATTTTAAGAAAAACAATAACATCCCATTAAAGACACACATTATTTAAGGCAATATGCAAAATGCAGTTTGATATTTTCATAACTCCACTTCTCCTTTGAGGAGAGGGGAATGAAAGGAAGTACAAAGGAGGGAGAAAGAGGCAAAGGGAAGAGAGAGAATGAATTTTAGTAGTTTGACCATCCATATGCAACTGAGAGAAGCATCAAACAATAAATTGATCTGAAAATAAACTTTTATGCTTGGTTCACTGGAAAGATAGAAATGATTTTAACTTAAACCCTACATATCTAAAATAAGCAAATTTTACTTTCCCTTAAACACAAATTCTATACCATATTTATTAATCAAATTCCATTCCTCAAAACATTTACTCTTTAGCATTGTTTCTTGGAAAAATTTATAGTCTTTGTGTGGTCAAGTCATTTCCAGAGAAAGAAGTCATATTTACAAGTTAAAGCAGTGAATACAAAAATAAGTCAAACTACAGATTTGATGTCATTCTGACCAAACAACCAGGAGTTGGAATATGGAACATATACATACAAACTCCTTTCAAATTAAAGTTTTGTTATTGTATGTGAAATGTCCATGATGTTTGAGTTGGAAAAATCTATGAATTACTTTTTCAAGTCACTAAGAACTGTAATTGTTATTCTCAAAATATTATTTCTAATAATTAGTATAATAATTATGAATTATATAATTTAATGATATGCATATGTGTTTTTAAATATATATTTATACTTCCCAGATTGGATTCAGAAATATAAATTAGTATGGGATAGAACATATATTTTAAAACATCAATTCTAGTCCTAATTAAATTTTTTTGCAGAACTTGATGGTTTTTAGGTTATGAAATTTAAATTTTGTTCTTTTTCTCCTGACTTTGATCTGCACTGTACTAGTGAACACCTATGAATAGCTACATGTATACAATTTTTCATGATTCATGAAACATGTGGAGACATAATATTAATTAGCCCTAATGGAAACTGTCATGAAACACAGATCCACTTACTATAGTCTCATCAAAGAAGTTTGTGCTTGGTTTCCTTCTTTAGATATCTTCTTTCTTATGGAATTTTCAATATTTGATGATATATGTACAAATTTCTGGTTTTACAAATGAATAAATTGGTGCATTGTAGTTTGACATGGCTTTGCTCAAAATCATATTTAAGAACAATGAAAAATTAAGAGTATGGATTTTGTGATCAGGTAACTGGTTTTGGTTCTATTCTTGCTACTTACAGACTGTGCCATGTAGCCAAATGACTTAAATTCTCTAAGAATGTGTTAACTAATCCATAAATGGAAATTTTAAAAATAATCTATATCTTAGGTTTTAATATTTTACTAGCAAAGAAGGAGATGTGTATTAAGTGCTATTATATTTATGTTTAGTGATACAATTCTCAACCAGGGGAGATTTTGCCACTCAGAACAGTTGTCAATGTCTGAAGGCATTTTCTTTCTTTTAACAACAAGGAAGGATTGGTGGTGGTACAGTGCTGCTTTTATCTAATGGGTTGAGCTGGGTTGCTGCTGAATATCCCATGACATACAGAACAGCCCCCAAGAACACAGAAGTGTCCAGCTCATGATGTTAATAGGAGCAAACATGAGAAATTCTGTTAAGTTGAAAAGAGACAAGATTAAATTCAAGGTTTTTTTTAAATTCTTAGTTTATAATTACATATTATAGTCAATTTCATCACTATACTAACAATAGTTATTTTGCTTCAAAGTAATATTTATTGACTTCTAAGTTTTGCTGATGATTCTCTTCCATGACACATCTATCATTATTATTTAATATTGTGATTTGGCATATTATAACTGTAATAATATCTAAATTTAATATCCATATTTTAATAATAAATATATCTTCATCATAAGTATCAATAGCATTTAAAATTATTTTTGGTTACTTGTCATTTCCTAAAACCTTCACAGGAAATCAAGAAACTATAAAGGGAAAAAAGAAAAGATATTATTTCAGTAAGCAATTCTTTGCAATATCAATATAAATGGAGTAAATTTAATTTTTATTCTCTGATAATTAAGAAAATCTTTTCAGTTCATTTGAAACAATTTAATTGTACCTATAATAATCCTGATTGTCTTCTACCTATTACATTCTAAAAAAATCTGGAATGAATACATTTACTGAATGCAAAGATACTTCATTTTTAGCCTAATCTTTTCCAAAAAGCAATTTTATAACATGCCAAACAACTTTTTCATTTAGCATTTTAAATTATTGATGCTCATTTTTTCTATACTTAATGCATATTATTTTCCAACTAAACCTGAATCATAACATTTGTCAAATACACACTTTATGAGAAGAGTATTCTTGAGTTTCTATGAAATAACATTGAAAAATCATAGGTGCATGGGTGCAGGAAGCTCCATAATATGCCTGACTAGTTTAGAAATCTAAACATTTGTAATCTTCTTTGAATAATGTGCTTGTTTAAAAAAAAAAAAAACACATGAAAAGTATCTTGTTTGAAGGACTTTTTGAAAGTGTGTAATCTTCAGCTCTAAATTCCAGTAAAGTTTAAGTGTTATTTGATAAAGGCGAAAAGCTCTGGTATTTTGAGTTCAAAGCAAAAATTAACATAAAATATTGTTATAAGATATTGTTATTGATGATTATTCCCTAAGGATATCTGTTATACATAATTATGTTATAGAATTATTCATTTAAACCATTCAGTCTTCAACAACTTGACTGTAAAATTTTAAATAAATATTTTGTGCTCCATGAAAAAAAATGCACATGTTATAGGTTCACAATTTTAAAACTGTTCAATGAAATAGAACCTTTCAAGTTCAATACTTATTGGTAAGATGTGAAAATGTGTTTGTTCACCACTCTGTGTCATTAAAATCTTTCTGTTTACCAAGAGGGGCGAATATGTTTTGTATAATTGCCTGTTATAAATACTTCATTGTCTGCAAAAAGGTTTTTTAGAGGTACAATTTCAGAGACTACCTTTGATATTTGGACCCTGAATGTCTAAATTGGGACTGAAATTAACTAGTTTCTGCAAGAAGTTTGCCCCAGCGTGAAATTTTGAGGTGTGCTACAAATTGAACCAATACATACATCCAATGTGTGCTTTCTTCATGCAGGGATTTGAGACGGCTTGGAGTGACTCTTGTCGGTCACCAGAAGAAGATCATGAACAGCCTTCAAGAAATGAAGGTGCAGCTGGTGAACGGAATGGTGCCATTGTAACTTCTGCTAATGTCACTTCTTCCAGTGAATGATTCTGCACTTTGTAAACAGCCCTGAGATTTATTTTAACAAAAAAAGGGGAAAAAGGGAAAACAGTGATTTCTAAACCTTAGGAGAGCTATGTCTCATCCACAGAATTTGTAATCAGTGTTTTACTAAAATCTCCATATCTTCCTCTCAGTTTCTTCATTTTTCATGAAGCAACAATGACCTTCAGAAAATAAGAACAAAAATACTATCTTATGTTACATAAAAATCCTCACCACTACTTCTACAAAATTTTTACATGAAAATACAAATATATAGCACCTTCACAGACTAAATTAAGGCAGCCCCTTTCAAAACTTCCAGGGATCTACTTGAAAGGAAAAGTCTTATAGCCATTTGTGGGCTAAGAAAAGCTGCAGTTTACTGAAGTTTACTTCAAGTCTTAATTGTCTACATAAGTGTATTGAAGAGCAATATGATTAGATTATTTCTTAATACATATCTTCTTTTGTAATTTTAAAATGCTATTTACATGGTATTAAGTTATAGAAACTAGTTTATAAACACATTGCTTGATCAAGGAAAAGTACAATACAGGGTGTGTATTTATTTTTCTGTGTTATAAAACTTACTTTTAGTTGCTCTTCTAGAGACTATTAGGTAATAAATGTGTATATATTGTATATTTTGCAATATATCTGAAAACTGATTTAAGTTGGAATTGTGTGGGTATGCTTGCATATGTGTGCATTATCATTCTGCTTGCATTTTAATAGTGTCTCAATTTTAGCAACATATAAGGACAAGTGTTCCAGAGTGTATTACAAATAAGAAAAATAGGGAAGCAGTAAAACAAAATTTAACACAAGCTGGTGTCTCTTTTTCCCTCATGTGTCCAAAAGTTACTAATCTCTTTATTCACTAACAGAAAATGTCTATAAGATTAAATCCCCTTTGGCTTTTTAAAAACACTTTGTGATATCTGTGACAATGCTGTTCTTCTCGCCATTAATCTTGCACCCCTGTAAGAAATTTCACCTTTCTGATTCCCAGAAAATATCTTGTGAAGCAAAGTTGACACCAAAGGGCAAATTTTCAGCAGGATGTAGAAGGATTTAACTGTGCTGGCTTCTGTTAATGTTGTTAAATCCAGGCACATAGCACTAAGCATCACCCTTAAGTGTTAATCCTTTGCAACCATTTCCATTGTGCTTCATTTCTAGACATTTTGATACTAACAAAGCAATGAAATGATGAAAAATACACATTTTTCCTTCAGAATTTTCTTTATTTCAAGTTTTTTTGTTGATGAATGTTTATTAATTTGGTAATTTCACTTTGCATTCAGTTACTTGACATTGAAATTATTTTGAGGAACCAACCTGAAGTATTATTTAATTGGACTTATTAGGGAATATAAGTCATATCTTCTGAAGGTTTCATAAATATACTTGGTGAAGAAGGATAAATAAACCATGGTAAAAATTACATAATTTATTAGAAAGCATACAAAACTGAGCTCCTTATATGAACAAAAGTTCTGTATTATTGCACATTATTAAAATCATGTAATGGCACGTGATCATTCAAGGAGCAGAGTACTTGAATTAGATATCACTTACTCATGATTCTCAATTGTAATAGTAAGTATGTCAGAGTATCCTTGGAGTGGTGGAATCCATAGGACATGTACTTGTGTTAGATTAATTGTACTCTCTTTTTCCTAAGCACCTGTTTTACTTGAATGTTGATTTATATAAGAATAAACTTGTGGGGAATAACTTCTTTCTATCCTGCCCACCCTTTACTTAAGCTGTAATGTAACATTTTGTCAAAGCACAAGAAAAAGCCAAAAGAGCAACAAAAAAGAAGGGAGAGAGAAATGGTCTAAATGCTTTTCAAATTACGCATTGAGTTCCATCTCTGTAGAGTACCATGGCTCCATATAAACTATGCTGTAATTTTGCTCTATTAGGTTAGTGAAATTTCCAGAGAAAGTTGAGAAAATTAATATTGTTTTGATAGAGTCACAAGTAAACAGAAATTACTGTTACTAAAGATGCATTTGTTCAATACAGGGAAATGTTGAATCTAAATCCTTTTATACAAAATAATTGAAGATTGTGTTTCAGTACACTGAATTTTCTAAAGTATGGAAATCTAAGTGATAAAGTATCAATTGAGAAACTTCAAAGTAGGAAAAGACTTAGGAATTGAAAAAGAAAGCTGTTATACGTTTGTAGAACAGGTGGACAAGTCAATATTGTTTGGACATAAAATTGTTTCCAAAATTGTTTTCCAACTTTGTATTTTCAGAGCCAATTGGGATTTTTGGGGTGGTGTATATTTAAGTGACTAGAAGTTACAATGTAGATTTACACATTTTCACAAAGAAAGAATATATATTAATTTGGATTGAGTTGATTTTCCTCCTTTGCAATATTGGTGTTCATTTCAGAAAACGATTCTAATTGAAAATTATATAGCCCCATATAGCTTTCATCCATATCTCAAGTTGGTTGAGAATTTTTTTAATGTTGATAAGATTTTTAGAACAGATAGAGATTTTCAAATAAGATGTACTCTGCCCTCCAAAATAGGAAAGAATACTTTTCTAAAATATTTGTTCACCACTGGATATGTCACCAATTGGAAAGAGCCAATCTCATCTATACCTGTGAGAAATAGAATGAGGAGAACATGCCAATTTTCTGAAATACAGTGAGGCTGTAACCCAGGGCAAGATTTGAAAATCTCAATTGTATAATTTTTATTCTATTGAGTATTCATTTTGTCACCCATCAGTTTACCAAAAATAAAGCATAGATTAGATAATTTTAGCATATACAATAGATTTGCCAAATAATATGCAATTTTACTGAAGCAATATCTTTAGGGCATCATCTTTCTCAGTGTTAGATTTTGAAAAACAGGTATGTCCAGAAAGTTATTTTCACTTTACTGATACCTGTTGAAGTCACTCAATTACTACTTTTATCAATCATAATTTGTTGCTAATCTTGCCATTTGCTCACATGTAATATGACACATAATTAGTTCCTCTTTTTGAAATGTATTAATTGTAAGTAAAAATGTAAAGATATTCATTGTCCCATTTTTAAAAATGTTAATGTGCATGCCCTTTTATTTCATATATTTTATTCACCAACTCAGTGTTCTGAAATTTTAGGATCACTGTAAAATTATATCCCAGGTTAGGAGTGTAGCTCAGTAGTAGAGTGCTTTGCCTAGCATGTGCAAGGTCCTGGGTTTTATTCCCAATACTGAAAAAAATTTGTACCCCAATATTTCATGTAAACCTATGTGTAATCAGCATCATTTTAGAGTTGCCTAAACAACACAAAACATTTGTAATTCTGTTTTAGAAAGAGTTTTAACCAGTGTGCAATGATGAAGGCACTTTCATATCTCACGTTTAAAATACAACATTATTAACGCCAGTTGAGCACTAATACATTTGCATGACCTGCATTTAATTTCTATGTGAAAGTAAAATATTTTGAAACACGGTACTTTCTCCCATTTGAAGTGGGTTCTCAGAAGCACAAGTATAGATATTTACCTTTGGAAGCTTTTGTGGCTGTAATGGATAGCAAACACTATTGAGTCAGGTGTTAGAAATTTACCAGATGTATAATGTTGCATAGTAAAATAAGGATCTTTTCTCATTTTGTTTGTTCTAAAAATAAGAAAAAAGAAGAAAGCTAATTGTGATAGTAAACTGTCTTTGTTTATGTCCTTCCAGATGTTTAACTCAAAGTAAATACAAAGTAGGTACAATATGGTGGTGATGACAGCAGCGACGATGATGATGAATAAACAGAATCAAATGCTAGCTTTATTTGAAACTGAATAACTAGAATAAGTCATCATTATTTTCAACTCTAACACAGCTGGTTACATTGAATATTTTCTCTCTATTATGCTGTTAATTATATAGTAATGTATCAAAAAAGAAATAGATAAGAATTTTTTTTCATTTCTTGTTCATTTATGAAAATGTCTTTTCACATATAAATGACTGAACGTTCTTGTTTAGAATGACCATGTAATTATTGGTTTGAAGACACCAATTCATTTTTTAAAAACTCTGTTTATAATAATCAGAAACAAATGTTGCTTTTTCTTCAAAATGTTAATAGAAATAATTGAAGGTGGCCAAAATATATCATGTTATTCCTGCTGGGGGCTTTATTATCTGAAGTTTGAGTGGTCAACATATTTGTGACTCTTTAGACTGCTGTAGTTTTGCGATTAATTATGTAAAAGTGTATAAATTCCACTTATAATAGTCTGAGAATAAACTTAGACTCAGTCATTTGTTGATATGTTATCTTAGTTTCAGGCAGGTGAGAGCAGCTGCATAGCATATTTTATCCTCTGATAGGCATCAAGATATCTGAAGTCCCTGTCTCAGAGTTAATTCAAAGAAGGATTAGCATTTCTGTATTTCTTTTCCCATTTGAAGCTCTATGTGCTTTTGGTTTGTGTACATGTTTTTGTAGTGTAAGATATGAAATTTTATATTTTTTCAGAAAATAAAAAAACCCTTTGAATACAGTTAAATCAGACTGTCATGCTTGACCCTCTCCCAATACTTTAAATTTACAATCTTTGTATAATGATTTCAGTTAGTTCTAATAAAAATGTTTGAATATCCTATGCTATATATTTAAAAGGCCACCAGGATTCATTTTTTACCAAGAGATTTTCACGAATGTTTGCATTTGAATTATTTTTTGAAAGTAGAAATTGATTGAGATTATGGAACATGAACTTTCTATGTCAACTCCCAATTAAAAGTTATTTGTGACAGTACAGTACAATATTAACTTGGAAAAAAAAACAGCTGTGTGCAGTATCTACAAAGAAGAGCTTTTATTGACCAGTGTCAGCCTCTGTCCTTCTCATCACTATGCAGCTGCTATGTTATAGAAAGAGGAGTTGCTTACCCAAGGAAGAGGTATTATTAAGTACAAACCCTCCTTGCTTCTTGTAAGTATTATATCATACAAGTCTCTTTTTATAAAAAGCATAGCAAAAAATCTGCTGCACTCAAGGAAATGAATCACACTTTCAGTCTTTGCATCTGCATCTTAATAAAGTGATATCACTGTGCCCATGAAAATAATCCATAATTCCTTTGCCTGTGCATAAAACTCAGTGTAGTAAGAATAGCATTTAATCTTTTAGTGAATAGTCTGATACAAATATTTCAGAGTACTTTGTTACCAAGTAGAATATTCTTGCTTCTGTTTTGCTACAGAAGTAAAGATTGTATAAAAAAAGAAAATTTTCCCCAATCCTGTATATACTCTTGACCAGATAGGAGGATAGGGTGGCAAAGAAAAATTAAAATTTAATGAAAATGCACCATTCTGTATTCAAATTTTTCATTCTTACCTTTGAAAATATGAATATTATTGCTTCCTTTTACTGATGATGAAACAAGAGCTCAAAGATGTTAAGAAGTTGCCCAAGACCTGACTACTCTTCAAAGGTAGAATGAAACCCATGTTATTTCATACCAAACACATGAAAATTATACCACATTACTCAGACTCCGCATTGTTAATCATGCTATTGGGACAACAGAATAATTTATAGCACCTTTTAAATTAAATGACACAAAAACTGAGAAGCATTGAGAAAAAATAGCTACACGTTTTCATGAAGCAAAGTGAAAATCTTGCATTGAAAACCAGAATCTGAC